TAATTTTATTTTAATAAATAATAAATATAATAATTTATTTTAATTTAATTTAATTTAAATGCACTGTACTATAATAATCTATCTTACTTTATTTTAATTTATTTTTTATTTAATATTATATAATTTATTTTATTATCAGCTTATATCTTATTAATAAAATTTACATTATAATAAATTTTAATTGTATTTATTAATATTTAGTGTCCATATATATTAATTTCAATTAAATCTAAGACATAACTTGGATTGGTGTGGTGGTTATGGTGTCATAATGTAACCTAGAGGTCACAAGTTCAAATCATGCTTTTGCACCTTTGCTTTTAATTTTTGCCGCCTCGTCACCGCTACATCATCAAAAAATTGTCACGTCAGCCATGGTCAGCAGAATCGCCATGTCAGCAGGGAAAGCCCGAAATTAGGCCCGGTGCATACAATTGCCAAAATTTGTAAAAGTGGTGTATATATTTGCCAACTTTAAAAGTGATGCATATAATTGCAAATTTCGAAAAGACCATGTTTTATTTGCAATTAAGTCTATATTTAATTACTAATTGATTTTCTTTCTTAATCATATATGATTGCTTAGTGGGTGATTGTTTATGAAATAATTTGTTCAAAATGAATTATTTTGGTTAACCATAGTTAAATTTGAAAAAGGTGATATGGTTAGTTGTTAGTGGAATTTTAAGAATGTATTATATTAATATTTAAAATAAAATAATTAAAATTGATTTGATGTAAAAGTATGAAATAAATGATTGGAAATGATTGGTAGTTAAAATTATGTGAGTGGATGAATAGTGAATTGAAGTTGATGTGATGTGTAAGAATGATTGGTTTGTATTATTTAATTATATGAATAATATTAAAGATAGTGGGGTTGAATTAAAATTGAGCTTGATTTGAGTATGAAATAAATAGAAATGAAATAATTCATAAACAATCAATCCCTTACATTTTCCATGGCAAATAATTTTTTAGCCTTAAAGTTGTAAACATAACAATTATCATATGTAGTTCACAATCCAATTAGTTAATTGACATTTATCGAAATTTATATAATAACAACATTTGTGTATTTGAGATGCTTTGAGATCAGTACATATTTTTGAACTTATAATTTCCATAATCACCACACATGTATTGGTGCAGGGTTTATTCAACTTAATCGCACCACATAAGCTTTAAAGTAGTTGATAATAATCATGTTTTTCTAAAACTAAGTATACATATTTTGAAACTGAAATGTCACTTTGAAAAACAATATAAATAAAAACATGATATTTCATACCGTAAAAATGCATTTTTATTGAAAAACAGTACCATAATTCAACTTATTTAATAACTAAATTGCATCATACAAGATTAGTGTGTATCCCGTGCGATGCACGGGAAGATTTATTTTTTAAAACTTTTTTAACTTCTATTTAAATATAATTATTTATATTTAAAACGTCTCATTATAAGTTTTCTAATATACATTTTTCATAATTAATTACTATGCAAATAAAATAACTAATTAATTGACATAATTAATTCCTATAAAAAATAAGCAACTAATTAATTATCATGCATATTAGACAGGGCATCCTATAAATATATCAGCCAAATGCGGGATTTTTAAAAAAAAAATTAAAAAAGATTCCAAAGAAAATTAAGAAGACTCCACATAACATCAGAGATGTAAAGGATTATGAATAAAAATATGAAATATTCAAACATAAAAGTTTAGTATTTATTTTAATTATTATTATTAACTTATCTATAGATATAATTTTTTTAAAGAATGATATGTAATCATAAAGGTTTTTAATTAAAAAGTATCTATTTTATTTTTAAATCTATTGAGCACCAAATAAAAATGTAAAGGATTGACATATTATTTTATTGTAATTACTTATACATAGATTAAAAAAGTTTTAGGAATGTTTGAAAACTTAACTACCTGATGAAATATTTGATTTCAAAACAATATAGATATTATAATCGTATAATTTATTTGCTACGTTTATAGTTTGTAATTATCCATAATTGCAAATTCTTTCTAATTGATCAAAGTTTTTGGTATTCTCATAAATTTTGAGATTTTTTAAATTAAGAAGTACTTTGAATTTTTCTTTTTTAGTTTAGTAAAGTGATTCCAAATTTTTGGAAGGATTGATAATTATTTTAAGATTAATAATCATTATAATAAATATTTCAATAGGAAGAATTTAGAATAGGATACTCGAAAATTAATTTCACTTCTACCATTGTTAATTGTTCTAAATATCTAATTAAAGATAATAAAATTAAATCAATACCCACAAAAAAAAGGAAATAAAAAAAAAACAGGGATAGAATTGAGNAGAAATAGATGCTGATTGAACCATTCGATTGCAGCATTCCAGTTTGTTCGTTATGTCAGGCATTCCAAAATGCAAATTAAATCTTGCTGCATAATGCAAACCGATCAATTAAAAAATGCTGATTGAACCTTTCCTTAAAATATGCCGATTGAACCATTCTAAATCAGGTATTTTTTTTCTTTTTTTTGCTGGAAAGAATTATTATTTTAAAAATAATCAAATTTTTTATATATATAGATAGATAGGTAGATAGATTAAAATTATTTTTTAAGTTAGGATATATGTATTCTATATTAATTGGTTGATACTGACACTAATTTACATAATATTCAATTTTGATTTTGTCTAATAATATATAAGTCAGCATTTATTTTTTAACAAATTTGTGTAGGAAAACTATATAAACATTCAGAGTTTATATTATTTATAAATATAAACGCATTGGAGTTTCTATTGTTTATTAACTAAATTCGCAGTATTAAAATATCGTTTAGAATATATTATTATCTTTTAGGTTAAAAATCCGTCATTTTTTTTAGAATATCATTCATTAATTTAATTGTTACCTTCTTTTATTAATATTAGAAGGTATAAATGGCATAGGCTTCTCATTAACCAGACAGAATAGATTTTTGTAAATGTTAGGATTCTTTCACCTTAAAATATTTGTTATTGGATAGGAAAATCTGGTCAATCTCATATTTTGTTAAAAAAAAATATTCTTATGATATTCATATTTTTGAAATGAATTGAATTTCTTTTTGTTTCCTAACAAATTTGAAACGGATATTCGGCCAAATCAATCAAATTGGTTAACAAAAAAGAAGGATTTGAACAGATTGGAATCTCAAATTTTTTACAACAAAAATTGATGTGATTAGAGCACAAAATAGTAACCAAAATTAATCAAATTTAGGGGTGGGCAAAAAAATTGAATTTCCCGATCTCGAACCGGACCGAAATGGTCCCGTTCCGAAAAATAGGGTTCCAATCGGTTTTTAAAATTTTCATACCGTTCCCGGTACCGAACCGGTTGAAACAATGTCGGTTTTTAATATTTTTTTTCCGAACTGTCCCCTTTGTCCCGTTTTATTTTTTTTGTACAAAAATATTATATACATATATATATATATATTATCCATTATTTATATTTATGTTAGTATTATATTTAGTTATTTTTCAACTCCTTGTTTGCTGTTTAATGTTTCAATTCTCAGTCCCAGGGCAGTCTTAATGAAATTATAAAAGCTCAATATACTCAGCACTCATGGCAGTTGGCCAATTTTGAAGATGATGGTTTTGAAGAGCAACAATAAGAGCAATAATCTTAGTCTAAAACTAAAAATAAATTATAAGAGCAATAATAAAATTTTGAAACTGAAAGAAATCAAGAATGAAACTGAAAAAAGTATATAGTACCTGTCTCAATATTTTTATAGAGCAACTCTGCATTCACTTCAGAATATTAGAATTTTATTATTGTTCTTATAAACTATAAAGTAATAATTCACTTAGTTTTAGACTTTGATTATTGCTTTTATAAATATCTTTGGCAAGTGCAGAGAGAACTCCTATAAAGTAATATTTTTAGTCAGCCTAATTGCAATCAAACATTGTTTTTTTTTTTTTATTGAATGCATAATGTTTAATTTTGAAGTATGTATTTTTCCCGTTTGGTCCCGGTCCTGAACCGTTTTGTCCCGGTCTCGATTGATACCGATCCATTTAGGACGGTGTCTCGTCCCGGACCGGTTCAAAAAACCGGGACAAATATCGGGATAGGCTAAATCTCGGACCGCGCCCACCCCTAATCAAATTAGTTACCAAAAAATAAGGATTCAAACAACTTGGAATCTCAAATTTCCGAAAGCAAGATTTCACGCCATTTTATTCGAAATTTTCAATTTTGTTACCAAAAAGAAGGATCTCAAAATAATTCAGCTGCACAAAAATTTTCTTATTGATAAAATTCAGCCGCATATAAATCGGAGCACTAAAATTCATCCGCACAAAACATTGAATACATGGGCGGGAGAATCCCAAAATATTCAGAAAAAAAAATTTCCATAATGGTAAAAAACGAAAAAATGAGTAAGAAATTGTCATACTATTTTTGTAATTTTTCTTATTGCTATTATATAGTAATAGATTTTTGGGAATTGGTGAACCAACTATTGTTCATAGTCATATTTTGTGGTGTATTTTTAAAGAAGAGGTATTGCTTCAACTTTGAATGGGGAAATTAAATATTTCAATTTACAATCATGCTCTTCTACTTACAGTTGAAAATATGTCAATCAATAGAAGATTAACATACTTATGTGGTTAAAAAATACAAGTCATGATTTTGAACAACATGATTCTTTACGTGTGTATTACCGTGTTATGTAAAAGTAAAAGTAAAAGTATATCCATTCATAATGTTAGTCTGGCATTGCTTTGACAAGGTACATTAAAACTACATTATATCATATTAAAGAATAAAATTATTCAATTTCTTGAACAATTTTTAGTAAAACAAAAGAGGCATTCTGTGTGTGT